TCTTTCTTTCTTTCTTTCTTTCTTTCTTTCTTTCTTTCTTTCTTTCAGCATCCTTTATGCTTCTATACCTGTATCTGAAAGCAACCAGCTTAAGAATTGCTTTTCTCATGGACTGTCAGGATTCCCCCCCCACTCCGAACTCTGGGGCACAGATGTGGGGACCCACATGAAAGACCCCCTAAGCTTATTTCTATCAGCTTAGGTTAAAAACTTCCCCAAGGCACAAATTCTTCCTTGTCCTTGGATGGTATCGAAGCCACCATCAAGTAAGTTAGACAAAGATTCAAGAAAAGGACCACTTGGAGTTCCTGATTCCCCAAAATATCCCCCCAAGTTCTTTCACCCCCTTTCCTGGGGAGGCTTGAGAATAATATGCTAACTAATTGCCTTTAATAAAAGTACAGATGAGACTCTTTATCTTAGGACACTAAAATCAATCAGGTTCCTAAAGAAGAACTTTATTATAAAGAAAAAAGTAAAAGAAGCACCTCTGTAAAATCAGGATGGAAGGTAATGTTACAGGGTAGTAAAAAGATTTCAAACACAGAGGATTCCCCTCTATACTCAACTTCAAAGTTACAAAAACAGGGATAAACCTCCCTCTTAGCATAGGGAAAATTCACAAGCTGAAACAAAAGATTATCTAACAAATTTCTTTGCTATTACTTACAATTTCTGTAATTTTAGATGTATCATATCAGGATCTTTTTAGGAGATGATTTTTACTGCCACGGTCCCTCTCTCTGTTGAGAGGGCCCACAAAAAGAGAGCACAAACAAAACCTTCCCCTGCCCAGATTTGAAACTATCTTCTTTCCCCATTAGTCCTTCTGGTCAGGTGCCAACTAGGTTAATTGAACTTATTAACCCCTTACAAGTAAGTGATTCTGTACCTCTGGCCAAGAGGGATTTTAAATTACTGCATACATAAAGGTTGTTACCCTTCCCTTTATATTTATGACAGGGACTAATTGACCTTCTTTTTTCTCAGGCTGTAGATGACAGGATTGATCATGAGAGTCAGGACTGTGCAGAAGAGAGATAATATTTTGTGTAGGACCTTAGGAGTGTTAGCTGTAGGAAACACATAGACAGTAACCAGGGTCCCATAAAAAACTGTAAACACAATGAGGTGAGAGAAGCAGGTGGAAAAAGGCCTTTTGCCTCCCCGTGGTGGACGGGATTCTCAGGATAGTGCAATGATACAAATTCAGGATGTCAGAGTCAGTAGAAAGGGCACAAATGTCCCTATGGCAGCAATAGTAAATGTCACCAGTTGCAGAGTCTGGGTGTGGCCAGAGGACAGCTTTATCATAGGTGAAAAATCACAAAAGAAATGGTCAATTTACTTGAAATCACAGAATGTTGATTGGAACAAGAAAATATTTACTATGGTGCATCCCAGAAAGCTACTTATCCAGGACCCTGCCACTAGCTGGAAACAAACCCTGATATTCATCAGAGTAGCATAATTGAGTGGATTGCATATCGCTAAATACAGATCATAAGACATTGCCGTGAGCAGCAGAGGTTCTGTAGTTGACAGGATACCAAAAAAATATAATTGCACAATGCAGCCCTTAACAGAAATGGTTTTGTCCCCAGTCAGTAGAGTGGCCAGCAGCCTGGGCAGGATGGTTGAGGTGTAACAGGCCTCCAAGCAGGACATGTTCCCCAGTAAGAAGTACCTGGGGATGTGAAGGTGCTGATCAGTTGCAACTAGCGCAATAATGAGGATGTTCCCTGAAACAATCAAAATGTAGATCACTAGAAACACGAGGAAGGGA